CACCGCCAGCCGCGCCCGCACGCTGCACGGGCACACGCAGGCCTGTGTGGGCACCACCTTCCACCCCGTGCTGCCCTCCGTCCTCGCCACCTGCTCCTGGGAGGGCGACGTTAAGATCTGGCACTGAGCCTCCCAGCACGGAACCTTCCAGACACCGGCCGGGGTGGGCCGGTGATGAGGAGGCTCTGAGGTTGGCTTCGGGGTCCGGCTCGGGTGGCCGCTGCCTTCTCCACCCTCTGAGCCTCAGCGTCCTCATCTGTAAAATGGGGACAAACCCGTGTGCCTCGGGGTTCTGAGGACTGCGTGAGCGAAAGCGCCTGGCACGGTGCTGGTGACGCTCAATAAACGTGAGTGTTTTGCTCTTTCTTAGGTTATTTCAGCAACAAATATGTATCGGCTCCCCACTCGCAGGCCTGCTGGAGCTTGGAGACAAAACCTGGGGTGGGAGCTGGAGGGGGGGCAGCCCCCGGGGGCGCTGGGTCCGGGTCTGCCCACCCCCGGTCTCACAGGGCCTGCTCAGGCGCGGGCCGCCCTCTCCCTCCCCCGAAGTGTGGCCAGCGGGGTCCCCGGGTTTGTCCGAGCCCTGGGCCATCTGCGCTCCTCCTCGCCCACTGCCTGTCAGGTGTGCGCGCTGCCCCCGGGAGTGCGTCTGCCCCGGGGGAGGGAGCAACGTGCAGACGCAAAGGTCCCTTGAGGAGCCTCGAGGAGCCGTAAGCCCCAGGAGCCCAAGGTCCACCGATGGGCGAGGGTGGGGACCAAAGGTGCGCACGTCTCAGGACGGGCATCCCCGAAGCCTTGGGAGTCTCCCTGGAGGGGGCAGACCGTGAGCCTGTGAGGAGGGTGTCCCTGGCAGGGGGTCAGTGAGGAAACACAGGGGACCCGAGGAGGAAGCCACAGGAGCAGCTGGTGCCCAGCCTGGCCTCTCCAGAGCCTGGGCTCCAGGCCCGGCTCTGCTGTCCGTGTAGCCGAGACCAAGTCATATTTCCTCTCGGAGCCTCAGTTACCCCCTCTGTAAAGTGGTGTCAGGACCCCCAGCCTGCAGGCTTGCTGTGAGGGTCCAAGAAGGTCAAGTATGTGGGGGGTGTCAGCACCCTGGGAGCTCCAGTCTGGGGAGGGGCTCTGGGCAGATTGGGGGGGGGCTCTGGGGCTTGCTGGGGCTGGTGGTAAACGTTTATTTCAGTGTGTCTAACCCACCCCCGGGCCCTCGGGAATCTTGGGGTCCACAAGCAGGGCATCCCAGGCAGAGGGAAGGGCAGTGCAAAGGCCCTGAGGCGGGACTCATCCTGAGGGCCGACCCCTTTTCTGTCCTTCGTCCTCTTCCCCTGCAGTCAGCACGAAGCCTGGCCTGCAGTGGGTGTTGAGCGGACGCTGTGTCCCCGAGCTGGGCTGGAGAGACCAGGGCCAAGCGCGTGGGTGGGTGGCAAGCACAGGATCCCGGGTGTCCCTCACACCAGGGAGGTGAAGAATGGCTCCAGAATGGCTCAAGGCTCAAGAATGGCTTCTTTGGTGGAGGGAAAGATAACCGCACCCCACGCTCAGCCCTGACAGAAGTGGAGGCCCGCATGGGGGGCTGCCCCAGCCTGAGCAGAGGGGAGGCTGAGTGTGCATCCGCTCAGAGCCTGGGCAGGCAGTGGACACTCCTGCCTCGCCCCTCACGCCCCCAGGTGGCTTCGCTTCACAGAGGAAGTGACCCGCCCTGGGGTCACTTCCTCTGTGAAGCCTTCCCAGGTTACAGCTGCCTCCCGCCGCCCCCTGTGCTGGGCCCCTCTTCCCCCCGCACCCCGCTCCTTCAGGGCTCCGAGTGTAACAGGCGCCCTGAGCCCCGCCCCCTCCTGACGCTGCCTCCCAGCGTGCGTGCTCAGTGCCGTGCAAACTTCCCGGGCTCGCAGGGCCCTGCTCCCGGCTGCATCCCTGGCCCCTGCGTGCGGGAGGCATTCTGTGAATTACTGCAGGTAAGACCTGCCCACAGGATGCGGGCTTTGGGATCTGACGGCCATGGACTTCAACCCCGTCACCCCCTTTCGCTATTGTGCGGTCACAGCCAGTGCTGAGCTGCCCCGTGCCTCAGTGTCCCCTGCTGTAAACGAGAACTCACAGCACCCAGCTTGTGGGGATTCGTGAGGTTGGGTGCGACGGCTCTCGGCAGGACGTGTATGCAGCGGGCGCTCAGGAGCAGCAGTGGGAGTATCAGTATTAGCGATAGTATTAGCATCAGTGTCAGCCCAGCCACTGGTGCAGGCGTTGAGCCAGTTCAGGCCAGAGGGCGCGGTTGGGTTCATCCTCAGACCTGGTCTGGCGAGGCCCCCTCTGGCCAGCTCTGGCTCACTCTCACGGCAGAAGCCCCCAGTGAGCTCCTCCCACTTGACAAGTCTCAGGGAAGGCCTCTGACTGGCTGGCTTGTGTCACATGCCCGCCCCAGACCAGGGGTCCCTGGCCAGGCATAGCTGCCACTATGCAGCTGGAGGGGAGAGTGACGGGACCCCCACAGTATTGTCATGAGGGTGTGTCCCCCCAGGTCCAGCCCGAACAGCCCCTTGGCTGGCATTTGTCGGATGGATTGACCACGTGTGAATGAGCCCAGACACAGGCCGGGAGGGGAGGCTGTGCTCGTCTGGGGCGTAGCGGGGCCCAGCCTTCCCAGGTGCCTCTCGCCCGCCTCTCCTGCCCCCACCTTGCATCCAGCCCCAGATCCTGGGGTCCAGACATCCTACTTTCTAGCCCAGCCCGAAGCGGGCGTTTTTCTGCCTTCCTTGATGTGGAGTGTGTACCGAGTGAGAATTTCATCGCGTGGTTTGCTGACTGCTCTCCCCACTGTGATATGTCGATATGACCACTCCTTTGTTTAGTGAGCATCAGTTACACACGTACTCGACTGGCTTTGGCGTGGCTGCTGGGGTGTGGCCAGGGGATGACCTCCCTGTCCACCGAGCTGCCCGGCCCCTCCCCTGTGCTGAGTCCACACCCCGGCTACCTGCAGCCTTGTGGGACACCATGGGTCCCAGACCCGTCACCTGCTTGCATGGGGCCTTTGTGGGCTGGGACCCTTTTGACTTCTCTCGGGGCAAACAGCAGCCAGATCTCTGTCCTTGGAGGCCGTTTCTTTACCACACTGGTCACCTGGAGCCCGCCGAAGCGCTGACCCTCCTGGGACAGGGATATCCAGGGATCCCCAGACACCACTGCAGCTGCTTCTTAGCACCCCTCCCCTGTGGATTTGATTTCTTAACTACGTGCCCTGCAAGCCCTACCCCTTCTTAGGTTATTTTACTGGGAAGAATGGCAGGTGCTCTCCGTACCCTGATCCTCTGCAAGGCGTCTAGGAGTTCACCATTTGCAATTTTAAAATAAGAGAGCTAAATTTAGAAAGTATGGAGCAGGAAAGAAAAAGGAGTGTGGGCTGCCCCTCCACCCACTTTCCTGGGGCTGCGTGCCTACCTTCGCCTCACCCGTGAATCTGAAATACAGATCCGAAGCCGTCGTGGGAGAAGAACGCTTTCATGTTGAGATGCCAGCGTGGCTGTGTCTGTTGCTGAGCGAGGCTGATGCTCGCAGCCCCCGTGAGGTGGCTGTGGGCCCCCCCGTCCCGGTGGGCAGAGGGACAGGCCCGGGAAGCCTGCGCTCCTCCCCTCCCTCGGGACCCATCTCTGGCCCAGCCTGGGGCTCTCCATGCAGTGGGATAGCCACTAGTCTCGAGGGCCCCTGGGAATCTCACGAGTCACAGTCCTCAGGCTCCAGAAGGGGAAACTGGCCCAGAGGGCCCAGGACTTGCCCAAGGTCACACAGCCCTGCACTGCCTGCTGTGGGCTGAGAAGAAACATGGACAGAAGGGTCGGTGGACGGTGGGTGCACAGCCAGGGTCCTGTTGGGAGGGAGGCAGGACCGGAGTGGAGCGAGGGGTGCTTGGGGAAGGAGGGAAGGAGGGAAGGAGGGAAGGAGGGAAGCCCATCCCGGCCGTGGCTGGCTTCAGAGGCCATGGCAGGACAGCTCTGTGAGGCCTGTTGGCCGCCTGCAGGGACGAGCAGTCAGACTCTGAAGTGACCATGTAGGGGCCCGCCCTTCTGGGCCCAGACTGCAAAGTCCTCAGGGTTCCCAGCCCTGCTGTCCGGTCTCCCAGCCCACGTGGTGCTGACGAGGCTCAGGGCCCCTCTGGGAGCGTCTCTGAGCGAGAGCCTGCTGGGTGCCGGGGGCCATGTGTTTTCCCCTCCACCCACTCATTTGCCCCCCAGTTCGGTGAGGGTTCCTTCCCCACCTGCCCACAGGGAAACCGGGCCCCACACAGGGGAGCTGACTCCGGAGCCTCTCCACAGCCCCTCCCCCGCCAGCAGGCTGCTTCCTGGGGCACATCTGCTCCTGGGGGTGGGCAGCCGGGCCTGCAGTGGCAGGTCAGGTGCAGGCACCCTGGAGCTACACAAAGCTGGGTGGGCCGGAGAACTTCAGGTGTGCACCTGGGCCAAGGTGGTCCCCTCCCAGTGGGAAGAAGCAGACATAAAGCCCCCTGGGGGAGGGGCCCTCCATCCTACGCCTTGCAGAACGTTCACAAGTACTGTCTCAAGGGCATCAATGAGCATGCTCAAAGATAACCAGGCACACAAAGAAACAAGGCGACATGGGCAGGAGCCAAGATAAACAGTCTACACAGACCCCACCTGATGGACGTGTCAGGCCCAGACCGTGAGCCAGCTGTGCCCGCTCTGTTTAAGGAAACAAAAGACAAGCTTGGAAATCTCTCCAGGGAATAGGAAACTATTAGAAAGTGGCATAGTGGGTTTGTAGAATGACCAGACAGAACTTCTAGAAATGGAAAACGTTAATAACCAAAACTAAAAACGTGGTGGCTGTGTTGGGCAGCTGAATGGACGCAGCAGAAGAGAATTAGTGACCTGGAAGAATGCAGGTTGAGCACGGTGACACCACGGTGTGGGTCTCAAGGAGGCAGGGACACGGAGGTAGAGGACACAGAGGTTCTGATGGCAGTCCCAGGGGGAGGGAAGGGTGGAGAAATAGTTTAAGAAGCAGCTGAGGATTTTCCTCAACTACTGAGATACACCAATCCACAGATGCAAGACTCCCTGTGAATTCCCAACAAGGAGGAATCCACAGCGAGACACACCTCAGGGAAATGCAGAAAACCAAAGGGAAGATCTTCCACAGCTGGAGAGAAGAAGACAGATTAGCACCAAAGGAACAACTCCTGGGAAGGGGGGGGACTGATGGTGAGTCCCACCCCAGCAGGAAGCCAGGGGACATCTCTGTGCACTGAGGGTAAGAGACCCCCGCTGACATTCTCCCCAGTGAGAATATCCTTCAGAAATGGGGCAAAGACATCTTCAGAGCAAAAAAAAAAAAAAAAACCCAGAAGAGTTTGTCACCAGCAGAGCCGAACTAAAGGACATCCTAAGGAAGCTTGAGGCAGAAGCAAAGTCTATAAGGAACGTTGTATGAAATGGCAATAACAACGTTTAGTGGGTTGAGACGATGGAAGAATTCAAACACTGGACAACACGGTGCCAGGGCGGGGGAGGAGTGTTATCATCAGGCTGCCCTGGCCTCAGAGAGGGGAGGATGGGGGGAGACACCCAAGGCCACACGTCCCGAGATCAAAAGGCAGGGGAGAGAAGAAACTACCCAAACCCAAATTCTTTCCACTGACGTCTTTTATTAATGAATGCAAAATACAGTACTGAGACGGGGCATGCATCACAGACGACAGGAAAGCAAGCTACAGAAACCGGGGTCGGAGGGCCTCATTACATCTGAGGTAGAGCGAGGTGGTACCGGGGAGCGGGACACTGGGGGGACGAGCACCGGCCCCACTTGGGACTACGGACCACGGGGGAGCTGGGGGGTGGTCGGTCGTCGGCCACACGGCAAGAACAGCTGAAAACGTTACACATCCCTCCACCCGTTCCAGTCCCCCTCTTTGTGGACAGAGCGTCAGGGTTCCCTTGTCACTGGCTGGCGGGGGGTCTCCGCAGGACACCGTCCTTCCCTCTGAGGGGCAGGCCCCACTCACCCTCACCCGAAAATCAAGGAGCGTCGCGTCGAAAACGCCTAGGCCACCATCCAGGGAGCTGGAGGCTGAGTGCGTTAAGAAAGACCCTTTTGCTCTATAAAAATAGTTGCACTTTATAAAAGGGGGGATGCTCATCTCCGGTGGGGAAGGAGGCTGCTGTGTGAGAAACGGTCCACCGTGGCGGTGCGGGGGCGGACGAGACACGTGGGTGGGGTGCGCCCCCTCCCCCGGCTCAACGGGGTCCTCGTTTGCGGGGCCGGGAGGACGGGTATCAGGGAGGCGAGGCAGCACCCCTCGGGACCCGGTGTGCGGGGTGGCCACGGCCGAGGCCTGCACGTGGGTGCTCAGTTGAGCAGGGTTCCGTAGAGCTGGGCTTTTGTGAGACTGTCCTTGCGGCTGAGCCCCGAGCCGCCAGTCCGAGGGAAGGCGGGCTGGGGGCTGAGGCGGGCGCCGGGGTGCATCTCCGGGGAGGCCTCCATGGAGCTGGGCTCCAGGGAATCCCTGGAGCTCCGAGGGCTGTGCTCGGGCTCGGGGCTGCCCCCCGCCCCACAGAGCTGCACCCCGAGCCTCTCCCGCTCCCCCTCGCTGGCCGCGTAGCTGGGCAGGGGCTCAGCCGAGCGGCCGGGGCTGAGGCTCAGGTCACCGGCCGCCCGGAGGTAGCGGGGCTCGGCCAGGTGGCCCTGGGAGAGGTCATCGCCCTCCGAGAAGCTGTCAGCCTTGTAGCTGGCATAGAGGGGGCTGGCGCGGCCCTCGGCCTTCTCGCCCGGGCCGCCTCCGGCCCCAAAGTAGCGGTCGTTGAAGCCGCCGGGCGAGGCGCGCCCGGGGGCGGCGGCGGCCGCAGCGGCGGCCGGGAAGGGGTAGGCGCCGATGTCCTCCACGCTCAGCGGCCGCCACTGGCCGCGCACGTCCTCTGCGGCCAGCCGGGCCGACCCCGGCTTGGCCCGCAGGTTCCACAGGTTGGGGGGCATCAGGGCGGGCTGGGGGCCGGGGGAGACCGGGAAGCGGTAGGGCTCGGCGGGGTACGGCGACACAGTCCTCGCGAACCCCGGGGCCGCCTCGGCCTCGAGCGGGGCGGCCACCGCAGCCGCGGCCGAGGCATAGCGCGGGCTGCTCCCGTAGGCCGCAGGCGGCGTGCGGCCGAAGAGCTCGTCGCGGCTGTTCAGGTAGATGGCCTGCTGCGAGGCGGTGAGCGTGCTGGCCTGGGCGTGCTCCTTCTCCTCCGACGCGGCGCTGAAGCTCGAGTAGGAGCTGGACGTGGGCAGCGAGGCCGCGTAGCCCCCGAAGGCCCCGTGCCGGTAGCCCGCGGGGTAGGCCGCCGCCTCGGGCTCCTCCTCCTCGGCCGCGCTGTCAGTGGAATTCTGGGCCCGCAGGAAGCCCACGTCGGTCACGGGCCCGTCCGCACTGGGCCGCCGGTCACGGCGCCGCTCCTCGGGGCAGTAGAGGGCCGTGTCGCTGCAGTAGATGTCCCCCTTGTAGGGGGGCCGGGGGCCCGGCTTTTCCAGCCTGTCGCGGAAGGCCAGGTCACGGGCTGAGGCATCCGACAGATGGGAGGACAGGCTGCCGGGGTCTGGCTTCTCCAGCACCTTGGCGAGGACGCAGGGGGGGACACTGTCAGCGTAGGCCGGGCGGCAGAGCGGGGAGGGCAGGCTGCAGCCTTGCTTCTCCATGTGCAGGCTCACGTGCTCCTGGAACTCTGAGGGCAGCTAGAACGGGATGCCGCGAGGAAGAGGAGGGGACGGGGGTCACGGTCAGCCCCGGACCGGCAGCCGAGGCTGACCCACCGGGGACCTGCCCAGGGCCTCTCTAATCCCACCAGCTGGAGCCGACGCCCGGGATGCTCTATTTCGCAAGCTCCCGGGATGTGCCTGTGAACCCCTGGTCACCGCCACCCAACCCGGCCCACTCCAGTGGGGCACTGCAGAGCCTGGAGGCTGGAACCCGGCTCTGACTCAGGCCTCTCTCGGGCCTTCCCCTGAGGTGCTGACTTGCTCTCCCAGCCCCAGGGTCTCTGGGAGGGCACCCCCGGCCCACGCACGTGACCTGGGTGCTCCCAAACCAGACAGACTCAGAAACAGATGCGACAAAGATTGAGAGCCAGGCGCCCAGCGGTTTCCGCAGGAGCGCCTGGTGCCCTGTGGGGGGCGTCCCGCTACTGTTTGATCTATTTTGTGAGCGTCTTAGGTGTGGCCCAGGCTCGGGGAGGCGGCAGGTGGAAAGGCCTGGGTGAGAGGAAGGGCAGCCTGGCTGGGGTGGGAGCCCTGGGTCCGAGGCTGGGCCCTGTGGCCTTGGCCCAGTGACTCTCATGTGAAGCCAGTTTCTTATCTCTGAAATGAGCACTGTTAGGAATTGTACCCAAACCAAACCACAGGGTTTCGGGGGGGCTCACACAGCGGGTGGGGACTGGGGGCTGTGCCCGGAGGAAACGGGGTGGGGGGGTGCGCCGGCTGTCCGGGCTTGGCGGGGAGGTGTCTATGCGGTGGTCCCTCCACCACGTACCCAGATAGGCCAGGGCACGGCAGGATCGAGTAGGGCCAGGGGGCCTCGGGCGCAGCCAGCCCCTTCACTCTCAAGGGTGGGACCTGCGAGGAAGGGGCCCCGAGTGGTGGCAGGGGCAGCGGTGGGCCTGGCCGGGGCGGGGCTCACGTTACCTCGGACACCTTATGGCCCCTGCCGTACGTCTGGCTGCACTGCAGCAGCTGGGCCGCTAGATTGCAGTCCTTCCTATAGAGCTCCTAAAAGACAAGAGAAGCTGTTCTGCACAGGCTCGCCCCTCGCCAAGGTCGCTGCCACCCTGACCGGTGCCCAGTGGCCAATGCGGAAACCGGCGGGCAGAACCAGCTGTGCAGTGGGCAGCACGAGGACCCTCTCTGGGCCTCACACTCTCTCCTGCAGAACGGGGGCCCCTGCTCTGACCTGGAGCCTCTGGGGCATGGAGGGCGCCCTCCCAGGCAGTTCCACCACTGACCCGGGTGGGAAGCTCCCACAGGGTGGGGGGCAGTGGGAGAAGAAGGGCCTGCAACGTGCCCTAAAGTCCCAGAGGCCCCAGGCATGGACAACAGGCCCGGTCTCCCTGCCTGCGGCCTCTGAGTCCCTCCCAAGGGAATGCGGTGGAGAGCGCCGGCAACGGCAAGGGACGAGGAACGGGCCTGCCGCTCCCACGTCTCAGAGTGAGGCCTGGACTCGGGCGTGGCTGCAGGGCCGGGCAAGGGTCAGGGCGAGTGGGGGGCAGAGGGCCTGTGTGACCCCAGGTCCGGGCGGGGACCAGCTCAGCCTCCTGAGCTGAAAACAGATGCAAACAGTAGGCCTCGAGGGGTTTTGGTTTCATCTTTGGAAAATCTCTGTTGCACGTGCCTGCCGCTGGGCCTTGGTTCCCACTGCCGGCCTGGGACCCTCTGCAGCCAGGGCTCTGATGGGGGCGGGGGGTCTGGGGTCCACCAATGGGCCCTGAGGTCCACCTGCTCCCATTGTCTCAAGTCAACCAGGCCCAGGCGTCCTGCAGCTCAGGTGAGCTGCTGAGGGCGTGGGCGCCCCTGCCATCCCCTGACCCTGGTCCTGGTGGCTGCGCCCCTCCACCTTCCGTACTGAGGCTGGTGCCCCGGCTTGGCCTGCACAGTGGAGGGTACCCGGGTCTCCCACTCCTTCAGTGCATCCCTGAAAGGGTATAGTTGGTTGAGAGCTGGGAACTGGGCTCCTGTGAGGCCCCAGACTGGCTGCCGCTGGCGTCAGAGGGCTGCAGGCACCGTCTGGCCAGCCCAGACCTGCCACCAAGCTATTAACAGTCTTCTGAGAGCCGCCCCTCATCTCTGTACACTCTTCCGCCATCTCCTACCTGTGGCATCTCCACCTGGCTGTCCAGGGCCCGGCTCCAGCCCCACGCCTGCCACCCCTCCCACGTCTCCCCCAGAAGGTCCCAGCCCAGGAGATGGCAGGTGGCTCCCTTCCAGCAGACTCGGACCCCTGCAGTCGGGCTGGACCCATTTTTTCTTCTCATAACCCACATCCCAAATCAGTCAATCACTTTGGTTCCAGCTTCAAAATATAACCAGAATCCAAGCCCCCCGCTTCCCACCTCCCTGGCCGCCATCCTGGCCAAGCCACCATCGTCTTTCTCCCAGGTTGCTGTCTCATTGACCTTCCCACTCATGGCTTTGTCCTCTACGGTCTGTCCTCAGCAGAGCAACCACTGGAGCCCAGTAAGAGTAAGTTCAGTCAGGCTACCCCTCTGTTCAAGAACCTTCAGTGGCTCCCTACTTCACTCAAAAAAAACCCCCAGATTCCTATCGAAGCCTATACAATGCGGCCTCCTGTTTTCCTTCTGATCTCAGACCCTCGGCCTCTCCTCCCCACAAGAGCCCCTTCTGGTCTCTTTGCTGGTCTTCAAGTTACTCAGACCCACCTTTGCCACTGTGGCTCTTTCTGCCTGGGAAGCGCCCTTCCCCGCTGTCGCATGGCTAGCTCCCTCGTCGCTTTCAGGCCTCGGCTCCAGCAGCCTCTTCCAGAAGCACCCGACTGAGATTCCCTAACCCTGCACCTGGCGACTCCCAGCGCCATCCCCTGCTTTACTTTTCTCTGCAGCGTTTAGCCCTTCTAAGTCACTACACAGTTGACATATCTATCCTGTTTACTGTCCGCCCTCCCCACTCCCCTGCTCAGATGTAAACTCCACGTGGGCAGGGCGCTTGCCTGTGTTGTTCACACGTATTCTCAGAGCCTCGTAGGGTCTGGCCCGGCGAGGAGCAGAGGCTAATCAGTGAGTGTGTGCTCAGCTGACGGGTCTGTGGCAGGCAGCGGGGCCCTTCTCGCGGGACCCTGGAAGTCAGGACCCACGGGTAGCCACAGGACTCTGATGTCCACTGAGAGTGGCCGAAGGCAGGAGTCCTGAGTGGCCACGCCCCAACCCTGGGGTCAGGAAGCCCTGCCTTGACTGGGACAGCGTGGCCCCATGCTCCCTATCTCAAGTCCCATCTCCTTCCAGTAGAGGGTCTCGCGGGATGCAGTTTGTGAGGCAGCCCCCGTCCTTCCCCGACTGCCCAGGTACTCCGTGAGGTCCTGACCATCCCGTCTGTCCACCCGGCCCTGCGCCAGCCCCTCAGGGTCAGAATGGCCCGGCACTCACGTTGTCCTCCGATAGCTTGTCGATGGTCACCTTGGCCTCCAGCAGGTGGCTGTTGAGGGCGACGATCTCGTGGCTAAGCGCTCGTTTCTCTTCCTCATAGTGCTGGCCCTGGAGGTGGGGGACAGGCAAAAGAGGGAGGCGCTCAGCAGCCAGCCAAGGCCTGGGGCCTCCTGGGTCCCCTCTCGCAGCCGATAACGAGGAGGAGTTTGGAGGCCAAGGCACGCAAGGGTCAGAGCACAGAGCAGCCCATGTTCCAGTCCCGCTCTGCCAGGGAGGAGCCAGACGGCCTTGGGCAAGTCACTGCCTCTCTGAGCCTCAGTCTCTCCTCTGCACCATGGGGACAGTGATAGGTGAGTGCTGGAGAGCACCCAATCAGGGCAGAGACAGGTGGGACTGGCCCAACCCCGGGGAGCAGGGAGCGGGCAGCGTGGAAACGAGGCCTTTGGCCCAGCTCCTCATGGGCAAGGGCATGACCACCAGGCCCGAGGTCCTCACCATGGTTCCAGAGCTGGGGGCCCAGGGCTGGGAGTGCTGGGGTGTGGGGGTGTGTGGCGTGCCCTCACCATGCGGTACAGCTTGTCCTCCAGCTCCTGGTTGATCCTCTGCAGCGCCATGTAGTTGCTCTGAATCCTGGAACGGAGGCCTTGACGTCACTGCTGTGCCAGGCCTAACCCTCCCACGGCCCCCGTAGCCATACAGCCCGCTGAGGGCTGAACACAGGCCCCACCCTGCTCTAACTGCTCCTGTGCTAGAAAGCATCTGATTGAAGCTAACTTGTTGCAACATTTCCTGGGCCAGGGCCGAGGACCCCTGTAGATGAGAAGGGAAGGCCTGTTATTCACAAGGGACTCTGTCGGGTCCTCACTCAGAGCCGGTTAACTCACAGTTTACACACAGTCCTTACAAAGCTGGCGAAAGGGTTCACAGTTCAATAGCAGTTTAGCAGGGGTCTAACCTGAAGACTGTGTGATGTGCCCTGGGGTGAGTGCTGGGGACACACAGTGAATAGGATACGGTTCCCCCTGGAAGAGGCTGAGACGGAGGCAGGTCTTGGGTGGGAAGCCGTTGACGCCATGCGGTGTGACGGTGGAAGGGGCAGTGTCCATCCTCTCGACAACCTATGTGTAGTGTTATTGCCCCTGTCTTGCGAGTGGGGAAACTGAGGCTGGAGGTGCTTAAGTAGTGAGGGACAAACAGCCTCCCTGCAAATCCAATGCTCTATAAACATTTATAACAAACCAAGCCAACAGCAAAGTTTGCGTTTCCTTTCATTCTTCCTACAAGAAGCCTGGAAAGCGTGTAATAGTTTTTAGAAGAATACCCATCTTACACGTGCAGCACGATGTTTACAGAAGTTTCGTTTTTAAGGGAGCCATTGCTCAGGGTCCCGCACCCTAGCCTGCTGTCACTGGCTGCTGTGCTGCTCAAGGGAACCGTCTCTAAATGCTGGTTCACCTCCAAGGCTGGACATCATTTCCCGGTCAGAGACCCAGGCGCCAGTGGCTGGGGTCTGGGTCTAGGGATGGCTGCTCCTGTGTCTTGCTGCCGCCCCACCACATAGATACAAGAGAAGGAATGAGCAGGGGACGCAGAGGTGCCTGGGAAGAGCCTGTACCCGGCAGTAGCCAGCGCCAGTTCAGATCCTGGTGTGGCAGCTCTTGGCACAAAGCGCGACTCTTGTCAGAGCCGCCTGCCCTCGCTGAGCCTTGGACTCCCCGTGTACGAATGGGGTCACCAGCTCGGGTGGGAGGCACGGCCCTGCTAGCGGCAGGTCGCCGGCCCCGCGCCCCGCGCCGCCCAGGCCCCGCCCCTCCCAGGCCCCGCGCCGCCCAGGCCCCGCCCCTCCCAGGCCCCGCGCCGCCCAGGCCCCGCCCCCTTACCTGCGCAGCTTCTCCGTGACCTTCTCCAGCTCCTCCTGCGCTCGGCGCAGCTCGATCTCCAGGTAGTGGCGGGTGGAGTCGAACTCGGTCTCGAGCTTCTCGAGCTTGTGCGTGGTGTAGGACAGCCGCTTGCGCAGCTCGCCCTTCTGCTCCTGCAGCGCGCTGCAACGACACGCGGCGGCGGGCCGGGCCGCGGCGCTGAGCTCGAGGCGCCGGTGGGTGCGCACGGGGTGCGCCAGGCCGCACCAACGCACGCGCACACGCACCACAAGCACGCACACCGCCCAGCCCCCGCCCCGGGGGTCAGGGTCTCTGACCCTGAGCCAGTCTGGCACTGGGGGGGGCAAGTGCTTGGGGCGGCTTAAAGGACCCTGGTTTAAAGAGCACCCATCGGCACCCAGTCTCTCGGTCTGCGAGCCGACCTCCAGATGGCATCGCTTACAGGGTCCCCCACTTTTGCTCCTCCACAGCGCTGGCTGGGGACGCTGAGGCCCAGAGGCACTAGTGCCACACCCTAGACCAGGATTGTCTTCCCCAAATCGACTGTGTGGTGCCAGCAGGCTGTGTGATCTCTGGGCCAGGGAGAGGATGAGCCTGGATGCCCCACGTCCAGGTAGCATCCGCCACAGTGGCCAGCTAGCTGCACAGAGCATCAGACACTCAGAAAACCACTGGCCTGCTCATGTCTCCCTTCCTCCAGGAAGCCTTCCAGGGCCAGGCTTGGCTCTTGAGGCGCTATTTTCCCCACAGACTGAGGGCTCCTCTGGGACCCCAGGCCGCCGAGTTCCCATGCTCAGGAAAGAGGAACGGGATGATTCACCCTCTGAGCCATATGCCATCAATTCACATCAGCTACCGTTGGGCACAAGGCAGGAGGGACAGGTGTGGTGGCCACACCCAGGGGACTGGCCACGAACTCCACCAGGGCAGGGGCCACACCCTCCTGTCGGCAGCCACCCAGGTCCCAGGGAGCACCTAACCACGGGCCGACCTGAGGCACCTTTCCCCTGACTGGCTGAGCACGCAGAAGGGGCCAAGGGGGAAGGACTCACCTTAAATAGCCGGGAGGGCTGATTTCTGCAGGGAAGGGAGAGCGGCCCGGTGGGTGAGGGGCGCCAGGGGAGTTCTGCTGGCTGTTAGCCAGGAGTGAGGCTAAGGTTCAAGCTGCCGTTCAGTGCCCTGGGTGTGCGCTTTGCTCTGTCACTCCCTGCACTTTGCCCCCGTCACCCCCTACATTACAGTCACAACGAAGCCCAGAATGGTGCAGCCTGAAGGTGAACTCCATGGTGTCACGGGGTGGGCGGGGTCCCTGCCATCACACAGACCTGGCTGCTGGTCCCCGCCACGCACCCCCCCAGTCCACCTGCGACTGTCCTCATCTTGCCCTGGGGACACAAAGCCCTGGCTTCAGAGAGGTGTCCGGGTCGGAGTAGGGGCCCAACTGGGCTGTTTGCTGGAGGAAGCCCAACCCTCCTCAGGGGACCATTTGGAGCTAAGACCCTTTGGATGGTAACTTCTGGTGGGTTTGCTGTGGGCAAGCAGGAGGCTTCCTCCAGAGCCCGGGGTAGAGTGGGCTTCAGTCTTGGGCCCTGTCTGTAAACCACGCGTGTTACCATAGGCGCACACCCAGAGAGCCCTGATTAAGCCTTCCTGGATTCCTGCCCAGGTCTACATTCTTAAAAATAAATAAAAATAGGGCTTCCCTGGTGGCGCAGTGGTTGAGGGTCCGCCTGCCGATGCAGGGGACATGGGTTCGTGCCCTGGTCCGGGAAGATCCCACATGCTGCGGAGCGGCTGGGCCCGTGAGCCGTGGCCGCTGAGCCTGCACGTCCGGAGCCTGTGCTCCACAACGGGGGAGGCCACAACAGTGAGAGGCCGCATACTCCCACAAAAATTAATTAATTAATTAATTAAAAAAATAAAGAGTTGCCTACGTTTTGAGAACCTCAGAGAAGGGCGGGGTGGGTCCTCCCAAGAGTTGGTCCCCAAGGAAGATGCAGTGACAAGCAAGGAGGGAGACCAGTGGCAGAGTGCCCGCCCATGGCTGCCAAGCAGGCCCTGCCGCTTCCTCCAGGCAGCACGCCTGACTGACTCACTCCAAGCCCCCTGCAGCTACAGGTCCCAGACTGCCCCTGGCCCAGGCCTTTCTCCCCAGGGGGCTGGCGAGCTTCCTGGGGGCTCTCCCATGTCACCCAGGGCCCCCTGCACACATGGGGTCAGGCGTGGGAGTGGGGCGGCGGCCCCTGAAGTCAGTCATCCTGCAGGGGCTGCAGGTCACCCACAGCCCTCGGTCACAGGGTACAGGCGGGGTCCGCACCCTCAGAAAGAGGTGAGAGCACCCGTGGGGCCACCTGAGCCCCCGCCCTCCCCCACCTTGGTCACTCGCCTGCAGCCACAGCTCGGACCCTGCCATCAAGACTCTCCACACCTGACGTGACCCAGCCGTATCCCCCTACGATGCATCCACCCGTCACCCTCCTTCCTTCCTTTCCTGCCCTGTCCCACCATTCCCTGCGCCTCACAGCACTAATGAGACAAATGTGGTCCCCGCCCCGCGGAGCTTATAGTCTCGAGGGGAGACAAACAGTGAACAAGGGAGCAGGTTCACCAACAAGGCACGTGTAGGAGGAAAATATGACAGGGCTGTAAGGTGGGCTCCGAGCAGAGCCGGGACCCGCCAGACGGGCATCTGAGCCGCGACGGCCCCTCACGAGGCAGCCAGCTTCATCGAGCCGGCCCACCCCAGCCTCAGTTTACCCTTGGCCTCCGGATGGCCTTCCAGACATACTGGGCGGCTCTGTCCCACCACCCGTCAAGTACTGCTCTCACCTCCTGAGCCCCTCACACCCACCCACCCACCCCTCAGCCACAGCGGGTCCGGCCCTGGGCTGCCACAGCCCCCAGCCCGCTTGCTGGAGGTACCTGGGCCCTGGCCCTGGACACGCCCCCCTGGTCCCTCAGTCACAGCAGCGCCAACCCCGGTGCCCCACCACGCCTCCCCACCTCTGCCGCTCCAGCTCCGTCGCCCAGGCTGATCCTCAGGGCCCTGGTTTACCCCTTGCCCCCTCCCCGCACATCTCAGGCCTAAGGTCCTCTGTGCCCAGCCACACACGAACCCCTCCCCAGCCTCCATCTGCAGCCCCGACCTCTCTCTAGGGCTCTACTGCCCTCCACGTCCAGCCACCCACCGGCCTCTCCTCCCAGAAGGCCTACAGGCACCTCACAGCCAGTGCGTCCAGTGCTGACTCTTCTCTGCCCCCTGTGCTCCCCAGCCCCGGGAAGGTCACAGCTACCAGCGGTCCCCAGTCAGACCCTGAGAAGCCGTGGTGACCCCTCTCACTGCCTGTGGCCACCCTTCACAGTCCTTCACCAAGTCCTGGCCATCAACTACTCCAGAGCTTTGGACATGTCCCCTCCCCTGCCTGGTCCAGGGAGGGCCCTGGGCTGGGCACCCTGAGGTCTTCAGTCACCTGTTTGGTACCACCATCCTTTCCTGCCTTTCCCTCCCAGGGAATTTGCCCGAGCCCTGCCTGACCTCAGCCTCAGTCTCCACATCTGTAAAACGGGGATGTGTGCACCCACACGCTGAAGCACCCACCCTCAGGGAGCAGGGCTGTCACCGTGGTCCCTGCATTCCCCGGATCATCAGAACCGCCAAGAGACGATGCCGGGGGCAGGCACCATGGGGGGAATGCTCAGTGCCTCTGCCTCCCCCCTGGTGTGGAGTTGGCTCAGGGGGCCCCTCAGCAGATGCACAGGGAGGGCCTGGAAATCCCTCATGCGCCACCCTCCGGATCAGGGTCACCCTCCCGGCTGGGGGGCTCGGGAAGCCCTGCTCACACTGCTGCCCGGGGGGATCCCCTCGCTTTGACCTGGGTCCTGGTGAATTGATCAGTATCTGGCCTCACCCGGCAGGGTGTGTGCTGGTGGGTGCATGCTTCGTGGTTCCCTCCTTGCCCGTGGGAAGCCCCTGGAAGGCTTCCCCACCTCACAGGGGAGAAAGATGAGCTCCCTCGGCGCAGAGTGGGATCCCGCCTGCCTCCCACCAGGAGCCCCTCTGGCTGCTCAGCAGAGGCCTGAGCCTGATGACCGAGCCCAGGGCTGGTCTGTGGGGACACCGGGGCCTCGCCTCCAAGACCAGATGGCCGGGAAGCAATGGCGAGGGTGTGCTGGCAGCCGACACCCTCCCCCTCTCTGGGCCTCATCGGGGGAGTTGATGCAGATGTGGGATGGACGTCTGGGGACAGGCGCAGAGACACCGAGGAGCCGGGGAGACAACAGGTGTATTACCTGTCCCAGAGCGAGGGTGAGGACCTGGCCAGTCGGCCCTGCAGGACGCGGGGTTGCCCGAGGCACGAGGGCACCCAGGGGCTGCGCAGCCTGTGGGTGAAGAGGACAGAGCTGCTCAGAACGGGGACCGGGGGCCACACCGGGCCCGCCGTGGGCACGCAGTCACAGAGAGATGGGGGATCGTCCCCCACCGGCAGGAGAGCTCCTTGTCATCAGCAGGGTGGCAGGGTAGGAGCGTAGGAGCTGGGGGGGTAGGCACCTGCCAGCCCCGGCTGCCCGAGTGCATTGCTGTCACCGAGTCCCACCCCAGGCCTGCATCCCCATCTCAGCCTCAGAGGGGAGCCACGGGGGGCAGGCTCCCCCAGCTCCAGGTTTCTGTCCGGCTACTGCTCCTTCCTTGCAGGACCCGTTGGTCAGAGAGCCTGGGAGGCAAGGAGGATGGAGGGCGTGTGACCCCCGACCTCTGCTGACGGACACCAGTGGGGTATTCTGGAGGTTGTGGGACCTACTGGATGTTAGGGGTCCAGGGCAGGACCCACTTCACCCCTCCTGGCACCCCTTCTCACTCACCCTGCCTGTGGCCTGTCTGGGCTGGGCGGGGGGTGGGACAGAGGCGGGTGGATGACCCACCCCAGCCCCATGGTGCCACCCTGCTTGGGGGCAACGGGACGTACATCACAGCTTTAGGCGCAAGTCGGCTTGGTCGCCCCCTTCCTGTAGTCTCTCCAGGGAGGGCTCCCGGTGGCCTGGCTGGCCCCGGAGCCGGAGCAGAAATCTGACGGGAGGACGCTGCCCCGGACATGAGGCGTCCAGACAAGGCTTAGAGACACGGGTGAGTGTATGTGCTAAGAGAAAGGGCAGCACGACCCCATTTACAAAATAACTGCGTACGGACACCACACAAGATAACAGAAGGGAAGGAATGTTAATGTTGTCTTGGGTGGGTGGTGGGATTCTGGGCAATTAAAAAATTGTCTTTTATACTTTTCTGGATTTGTCATATTTCCTACAGCGAGGATGAAAAATCCTCACTGGCGGTCCAGTGGTTAAGACTCCGTGATTCCACTGCAGGGGGCGCGGTTTTGTTCCCCGGTCAGGGAACTAAGATCCCACATGCTGTGGGGTGCAGCAAAAAAAAAAATTTACTAGGATCAAATTTTGCCCCTCCCCCCAGAGAAGGTTGAAAGTGTTGATTTGATAGGCTGGGGGCTGAGGGGACCGTGAGCTGCACGTCGATCACCACTTCCGTAAGCCCCCATCTGCTCATCTGTGAAATGGGCTGCCCCTGGCCCTGGCCTCCTGGGCTGATCTGCAGGCTGGGCTGGGGGAGGGGTGGGGGGAGAGGCGGCCGCTTGATCTCCATTTGAACTGGACTTTGGAAGTCCAGGCCCAGGGTTCACTCTTGGCCCATGACCCCGACGCTGCTGAGTGAACGGAGAGGAGGGGCAGGACTGGCCCGTTCCCGTGGGAGCAGCCAGAGACCCAGTCTCCCCTTTGGCGGCTCGGCTGGGTCCAGCAATCCCTGGGGGAGTCCCCGTCCCAGCCCTCGCCAGCCAGTCCCCACCCCAGAAGGCCCTTCCGCTGGGGACTCCTGGCAGGTGAGTTCTCAGAAGAGTAGAAGGGAGGCTGGGACCCTGGGAAACTGAGGCCCAGGGAAGGGGCGGGGCTTGCCTGGAAGCACAGAGAATGGGGGGCATGGCTGTGACTTGACCCAGACTCTGCCGCTGGTCACACACAAGGCATTTATCCCTGACAACCGCTCTTGTTCTGACCCAGATTCTCATTTCAGGCCTATGGCATGGGGGAGCGCCTCTTCCTAGAGTTAAGAAAACTGGGGCCCAGAGAGGTCAAGCAAGATCACACAGCAAGTCTGGGATGCGGCTGAAACCCCGATGCCTGTGATGCTGTGCTGGGCACGGGGTGGAAGGACGCGTGAGCTCTGGGGCCCGGGGGCCATCCTTCCCTCCTCCGCGGTGTGCACAGGGTTCCTGGGGGCAGAGGTGCTCCCTGGTGGGCTGTGGTGATGGGGCGGGTGGGGCTAAGGAGTGTCCGCCCTCCGGCTCCCAGGTACCAGGAGCCGGTCCCCGTGGCACCCCCGTGGCACTGCCTGTCTCCACACGCACTGTCTGCGCTCAGGCTCTGGCCCCCAGTCATGCTCCAGTGACACCAAATTGCTTGTCATTCTTCACACGCTGCAGGCAGCTTCTCATCCTGGTGACTTTGTCGCTGTGTCCCCTCTGCCAGGACGGCACTCACTCCTTCCCGCTCAGGTTAACTCCTCCCCACCCAGGGCTCACTGGTGGGACCCTGACACCCATCCCGCCCCAGCCTGCCCGCCAGGGAGCGTCACTGGGGTTGAGCCTCTGTCCCGGGGCCCGGTCTCCTGTCCCGGGGCCCGGTCTCCTGCCCCGTGCCGGCCCCCAGTCCGGTCTCTGCCCTCCGCCAGGTCATGAAACCCAGCCAGACCACTCCCGCCTC